CCTATGTCTCAGATGAACACAATAGGCTACTACTAGTCTTTAATATCCCTTATAACTCTAAAACCCTCTATCTCTCTAAAAATAATTGAAGTGTCTCCTTTTTTTTTTTTGAAGTGTCTCTTAAACATAAAAAAATACTCATACTAGGACAAATTGATTTTAAAGCTATAGTGAGGTAATATTTCTCATCCTCTTGATTGTCAAAGCTCAAAATTATGGTTAATATAGCATTGGAAAGGTATGATGAGAATCAAGACCTCATATACCTACCTAAAAATAAACATGAGGGCTTTACATATTGCATACATATACATTACCTGTCACTGGAAAGATCTCTGTGGAAGGTTCAAACTATAAGGTTAGGAGACAGAGTAGGGAAAGAAAATTCCCACTTACATATCTTTCCCTAACCTTATAATCCCTAAACCACAGGAACAGATTAGATATTAAAATATAAAAGATAAAATAAAAATCACCCAAAGTTAGTTTCTTCCTACGTAGTCTATTCTAATGAGTTTCAAGAATATATTTTTAATTAAAAACAAGCACCTACCATTAATAGAATTGTATGAGCCCCTAATAAAATGATTAGAAAAAAATTAAATTTAATTAAAAAAAAGAAACGTAGTTTGAAAAGTGGAATACAAAAAAAAACATTAATAGAAAAGGATCAAACTAGGAACATGCAGCAAACCTGAAATACGGCACATCGTGCTGCAGCGGAGACATCAGACCTCCGGTCATCTTGGGAGAACGGGCTTCTTTTCCCGGAGGGCCAGTTGAGCTAGTAGTAGCATCTTCATTTTTAGCTAAGTCATCTTCTGTGTTTTAAGGAAATATCACACATAAATGTCAAAGTAGCAATTCCTAAAATGTCGATCCTCATAAGGATTTAAAAATAAGTTCAAATCTGTCCATTTTAAAAATGATTAAATTATGTCTGCCTCAGTGATTACATTCAGCTCATCTCCACCAAAGTCTCTCAATCATCTTCTCTGCTTTAGCTTATGGCGAGTTCACCCTCTCCTCATTCTGCTTTCT